GGACATGGATGATTTTTTTTCTTCACAGCTGTCTTTGTTTTCTTTAGTGGGAACTGGGAATACATTTAAAGGGCCACTTCCCCCAAAAATGTAAATTCTGTTATCATTTACTCCCCCACATGTTGTTCCAAACCTGTAGGACTTTCTATTCTTCTGTAGAAAACAGGAGATGTTTTGCGAGCTGTTTTTTTCCACACAATGAAAGCTGATAGTAACCTGCTGTCAAGCTCCAAAAAGGACAAAACATATACCACCATAAATGAAATCATAAAACTTGGGCACTTTATTCCAAGTCTTTTGTTTGTGGAATAGAAGACGTGACGTGAGCATAACTACTAACAAGAATGTGGAACCTACTGTCCTTGGCAAAGTAAACTGATGTTGAATAGATAGAATGTGCGCACCTGTGGATCAGGCAAACCTCTCTTAACCCCAGATATCACTCCATCAGTGACAGCACAGATCCAAATAACCCCCATTATCTGCAGACACTATGGTGTTACAAAAGTTAAGTTACATACAGTGGTCTCAGAAAAGAAGACACAGTTAAAATATCTGAATCTCGTTGCATTAGATAGACAATATCTAACCAAATGGCATCTGCAAGCAAATGCTGCTGGAGCTTTAGTTCTCAGAACTAAATTCAGTTTTCTTTATCAGTTTTGCTCAGTGACTATTAATGAACTGTTCTGAACATAGTTTTAATAGATGTATGAAGTCAGTTCTCCTCATGTTCACATATGAATATTAACTCATATTAACTATGAATAATGTCCACTAATGTTTGACAACTACAACATGTCCCAAACAAGCAAACATTTGGGTTACAATGAGACATATACAATGGAAGTAACCCGGAAACGATAGTTGGATGTACAATGGAAATATGGGACAATTTAGGGGAGAACAGGGGATAGAGATAGTGAAAGAATATATGGTTTTGTTTTGAATACGTTGTTTTGAGAATGAATAAGGTAGAATGATGTATAAATAAATGTGGAAGTGGAATGTTATTTCTTTCTTCAGAGAGAAGGAGAGAGATTGTGGACAAGAGGGTGGAGCAGGGAAGAGAGTGGGGGCAGAGAGAGATCTGGATTCTGTCAACATCAAAGCTGTACGATTCTCTTTTTTCCCTCTTTGGTCATATATGATTTCCTTCAGTGGCCTCAAAGCGCACTTATAAGTCTTAAGGCTGAGTGTGTGGAGCCCCTTAATAATACTGACCTGGATTTCTTTCACTGCCAACTTTTGTTCTAATTACAGCTCGAGTTCACTCTCTGAGATTTAAAATATACAAAAATAGAGAGACTTTCCAATTTTCAATTACATGAAATGTTATGCTCAAAATGAGTTTAAGTATCATTTTCAGATTTTATTAAAGGGACAGTTGACCCAACAGTGAACATTTTGCCATCATTTACTCAGCCTCATGTGGAGGTGTCAAGCTACAAAAAGGACCATCAAACCACCATAAAAATATCCTTATATGATTTGTGCGCTGAATTCCAAGTGTTCTAAAGTTGGTAGCTTTGTGTGGGGAACAGATAAAAACTCACTCTGATTCACTGACAATATATTATATGATAAATCATATTTTGTGAATAGGGGAAGATTTTCAGTGGCTAGGTTACTCAAAAATAAAAATATTTTGTTATCATTTACTCACCCTCATGTCATTCTAAACATTTATTTTAGTTCTTCTGTAGAACACATTCTAGAAGATATTCCAAAGAATGATTCTTTTTCTCTCTATCCAGTATTATGAATGTCAATGCGACCCAAAAACTTTTAAGCATGTCAATCAAACTCAATCCTCACTGGTTCTCCCAATGACCAAATGTCATGCTTTTGATGTTCATACTGCATTATTTAATGTATTATGTGTATGTGTGTGTTTTGATAAAAAATTTTTGGCTTGATTTGAAAGGTGTATATTTCTTTTAATTGTTCATCATACAGAGTGATTGTGTCGCTTCAGAAGAATATATCAGTCAAGCTGTATATATTAATTTCATGTTAGCTTTATGTCATTTTTCGAGCTTGAAAGTTTTGGGCATCATTGCCATAATATGGACACAAACCGTTAAATCATTCTTCTTTTGTCTTTCAAAGGAGAAAAAGTCAGGTTTGGAACAACAAGAAGGTGAGTAAATTCCTTTAAATTTCAGTCGGTTCCTTACACAAAGTTATGCGTATAAGATTTGAAATATAGACCATATATTTTTTAAATGCCCTTGTCACAATATGATTTCATTGTATGGAAAAAGCAGCCTGGACATTATGCAAAATGTCTCCTTTGTGATTTACCAAAGAAAGGAAGTAATGCAGGTTTTGAACAGCATCAGGGTGAGTAAACAATAACAGAATTTTCATTTAATTTTTGGAATGAACTATCCTTTTAAAAGTTAAAGATCTTATTAAAAATCTGCTTTATTTTTGCACCTTTTATGTTATATTCTCATCATCAAGCCCCTATATTGTAGGAAAAAAGACAAATATGTTTACGTTAATCACCTTCAAGAACTACAGTATATGAGCACAGTCATGAATTAATGTTGTTGTTATATTTTTGAGTAAAAGGCGCATGGAATGATGGCAAGAGGCTTGGTAGACAGCTGGAGTGACAGCCCTCCACTGCCCCTTTCTCTCTACACACACACACACACACACACACACCTCCCTCCAGCAGCTGTTAGCTGAGGTGATAGAGGAGTGGTGATAACAGTAGAGGTTGTTAACAACCTGCATGCTGACACATTGAAGAAGTTCCTTGTCCTAACAACACACACAACCACCAACAACACCTCCTCCCAGAACAATGTGAAACATTTCTCTGTCTCACAGGGAGAGAGGACTCGTTTTTCAAAATATGGCTCCAGGAAAAACTCTCAACCACTTACTTGCCAGAAAATTATCATTTAAATTATCAAATTAATTTGTGCAATTGTGGCTTTAACATCTGATAAATATTAAATGCTACAATCCATCAGAATGCACTGACTTTCCAAATTCAATATTCAAAATCAGTATTATTAATGCATTAGGCCTATCAAAGAGGACAAACACAGATATCACATAATCAATTATATAATGACCTACAAAAGACTTACAAAAAAAGTGCTGTGGTGGTACCATGGTATTTGATGGTATCAGATGGTAATTCATATCATGATACTTTGATATACCATATACACTGTTAAAAATTAAGGTTCTCGATTGGCATCCATGATTGGAAACTTTGTCCATAGAACCTTTCATTCCACAAAAGGTTTTTAATTAAAAAAGTTCTTAACTTCAAAAATAAATAAATAAGAACGGTTCACTGAAAGATTTTTTGAGGAATCAAAAATGGTTCCATGTCATCACTGCAAACCCACCCTTTTGGAACCTTTGTTTAGGGTGCTTTCACACTTGGTTCGATTGCTTGGTCCGAACCCGAGTTCGATTGCTCCCCCCTCCCCCTGCCCCCGCTGGACTGTGTTCACATTATATTATTTGGGTCCGAACCGCGGTTCGTTTGCGTCATCGAGCCAGCAGCTGTTTACCCCGTTGCTTAGTAACGATGGCGCAGGAGAAGACGGCAAAATGCGTAGCATTGCTCTCTTCAATTTTATATTTATGCTTTTGAACCGTTGGTTTTGTTTCCAAAGCTTCAGTACTTAACGGCACTTACGTCTGCCTTACTGCAAATGCCCTAGAGAACTCTGAAGGCGAATAGAAATGAGATATACAACTCTCTGCTTGCAGCGTGTCAGTCACGCTTGACAGGAAAGTGAGTGAAACACACATAAACACACATTTTTATCAAATAATACGTCATTAATAGCGGTTCACTTCCGTGATTTGGTACGATTGCGTTCACATCAGCAGCGAACCGTACCGGAGTTCACTTGAACCGTACCCCAGACCACCCTTTTTAAGCGGACTCGGGTACGGTTCGTGGGTGCGCACCCGAGTTCGGAAGACAGCGTTCACATCATCCAAACGAACCGAACTCTGACGTCAATCGAACCCGGGTGCGCACCAAAAGTGCTAGTGTGAAAGCACCTAAGTGCACCATGGTATCCCATATATTCCATACACCATTTGCATTGAACTCGAAATTATAAAAAAAAATACGATGATATTATTAAGGTAGCCTACATGTTCATAAACGTGGTATTAACGTGGTAACGTGTCCAAAGCATCATAGCATGGCAGCTTTTTTGTAATAATCGAACAATAAATCGTATTATACTCTTTTATGCGCGGGTAAAAAAAAAATCAAGACATAACGAACGACTGAAAAATATGATTTTAAAGGGGTCATATGATGCTATTTTAAAGATCATTATTTTGTGTATTTGGTGTAACAGAATATGTTGACATGCTTTAATGTTCAAAAAACACATTATTTTTCAA